CTGATGCTGCCCTGGAGCAGCTGCAGTGACCCAGCCTGTGCCAGGGGATCCAGTGAGGGAGAGAAGCACTGGAGACTGATTTTACTGCAGGACTTTACAGGAACATTAGCTAAATTGAGTTGACTTAATAAAATCTTGATGCATTCCAGAAAGATTGTGAATTCATTAAGGCCACAGCTGGACAATCTGTTCCCCTCTGCTCTGCTCACAGCCACAGAGGAGTGCTGTCATTTACCTTTTCTCTTTCATTACTGTAAAGCTATTCCCCTCCCCCATGATTTTTTTTTTTTTCCCTGGCAGAGCTCGGCTCTGGGGAAATTAAACAGCAATTATTGTGTTTGCTCACTGTGTTGTACCCTAACAGATACTTGAAGGGAAGTTGATGTGTGTGTGTGATTGGCTTGCACAGGAGATGCAGGGCTGCCAGAACCTCCCATCCACAGATGCACACCCAGCTTTAATCCTTTGTTTACCCAGGGCAAGACTAAACACAAACACGGGGCACAGCTTGGGCCGCAGGGCTGCCAGAACCTCCCATCCACAGATGCACACCCAGCTTTAATCCTTTGTTTACCCAGGGCAAGACTAAACACAAACACGGGGCACAGCTTGGGCCATGTCTTTTACAGTTGAAAACTGCTGATAAGAAGTAGGAAAGGAGGGTTTGCTGAGGGTTGGAGATGGAGGAGCTGCTCTGATGGGGGGTGATGGAGTTTGGGGAGCCTGGTTGAGCTGGGACAACTCCCAGGTGAGAGTGGTGGGTGAGAACAGTRGGAGAGGTGAGGGAAAATGCCCCAAGGCAAGGAAAATGCCTGGGTGAAGCAGGGTGAGGACTGGAGAGCAATCCAGGTGTCAGCTCTGAAGGGCACAGAAACCTCCCCGCTGTGTGCTCCTGCAAGCGGGAACTGAGCCACATCTTCCTCTGCAAAAATAATCCCCAGAACTGAGCTAAAAGGAGATGAAGTGTGACTTTTTTATATGCACCTACAACATGGGGTGAAATGGCCTTGGCAGGAGGAGGCAGGAGACTTGAGTCGTGAGCTCRGAATGTATTTCAGAATCGGTGAAAGCTGAACTGGTGTTTTTAGTGAGGAACATAATCCCCTCTGCCTCRTGAAACTGGGGAATGTAGGTGTTCTCAGCGAAATGTGCTGTTAAAAGCCTGAATAATGCTTCTCATTTTGCTTTAAATGTGTTTGGGACAGTTAATCTGATGTTAACATGGAAAAATGGGGTTGTGTGTGCAGGAAAAAAGAGGTGGTGSTGTATCGAGTGAAGGTGAGGCTGCTGTGAACAGGAAGAGCCATGAATCTTGGAAGGGAAAGGAATCTTCTCCCCACACTGATGGAAAAAAACCAGCTGGGCCTTGGTGGCTTTGGTCTGGGATGGCATTGACAGCGTTGTGCATGGATGTGGCACGGTGCAGTCACCCTACAGGTCTCACCATTCCTTTATTTAT